AAATAAACATAAATCATCCTATTTTTTAAAACTCAACCATTTTATAAACTGGTAACATTTTATACTAAGCTATTTTCTTGTATGAACAATCAGAAGAAAAAGTGTATGTGCAAATAATGTTTATTTCAATATGTTAAGAAATTAATATACAAACATTTAACACTACCATTTTTATTTTGAAGGAAAATAAGGAAAATACTATTTAATGTTTGTGTGAGAAAAAGCAATATCTTACCCATAGTTTGTTACTGTTGACAGTTTTACTGTTTCTTATTATTATAATACTGTGATTTGTTCCATGGTCAACCTTATATACCTTCTAGAGTCTATGGTGTAACGTAGTTCATCAAGCTAATACCAAATACATACATACATAAAATATAATATAATATCCCTTATTATGTACCAGTTCAGAAAATGCCAACAAAGGAGACGAGGGAAAGGTTTTCTAGTCAGGAAGCTCCCGTTCCCACCACCAGTTGCTGAACCTTTACTAGTTTAGGCAGTCCTGAAGGCAGTGACTCCAAAACATTCCTCTGACTTGCTCACTTTTCTCTGGTGCTACAGTAAGAAGGATTGGGCAACCCCAGGAGAAAGCATGAATGGACTACAGAAGTACCTAGGGAACACGATGATATCTAGGTGAAAATCTTTGTACAGTATACATATAGTCTCAGAAGGCATTATGGTTAGACGTGTAAAGAAGCACTGGGAAGGGATTATCCTCTTTTGTTGGTCTAAGACAGATGAACAACCAACCTCACTTTTCCACTCAGTGATAATTACAGCCAGGTGGATATTTCTGATCCTAAAAGGCACCTAGAAAGATGTAGCCATCAGCTTTCTCATAACAGGAATACCTGGGCCCTGAGTTGAGAGAAAGGATCTACAGAAGGGCTGGTTCAGCATGTCTGTAGGGCCTCTTCCCCACCCACACCATTATCACCCTAGTGTATAAGACACACAAAATTCAATAACTTAAATGAAACATTCAGTAGTCACATTGAACCAAAAGTCTCATTCCACTCAAGCAGTAATTTGAAGAAGTGAATAATAATAATTTGTCTTGTTTTCACATTCTAAATATACTCAACAGAACTTGTGCTAAGTTCTTCCTAAAAGGAGAGGAGGAGAGGAGAGGAGAGGAGAGGAGAGGAGAGGAGAGGAGAGGAGA